TTTTCAAGAACTTTTTGAAGACCCATGCATCCTTCCAGGTTAATCTCTAATGTATAAATAGAAGTATGTATATTCTAGCCTGCAAACATATAGGTATGGTGCCATACTGTCTACAATGTTTGGAAGGTCTTTCCCCCTGTTTACGAATATATTTTTTTAAATTATTTACATGGGGCCAACGCTGCGGTGTAGCGGGTACAGCTGCTGTGTGCAGTGCCGGCATCCCATATGGGCGCCAGTTCAAGTCCCGGCTGCTCCACTTCCGATCCAGCTCTCTGCTATGGCCTGGGATAGCAGTAGAAGATGGCCCAAGTCCTTGGGCCCCAGAACCCACATGGGAGACCCAGAAGAGGCTCCTGGCTCCTGGCTTCGGACCGGCGCAGCTCTGGCTGTTGGGGCCATCTGGGGAATGAACCAGCTGATGGAAGACTCTCTCTCTCTCTCTCTGTGCCTCTCATTCTCTCTCTGTGTAACTCTGACTTTCCAATAAATAAATATCTTTTAAAATATATTTTTAAATAAATATTTTTTAAATATCTTTTTCAAATAAATATATTTTTAAAAATTATTTATATGTTTATTTTTATTTATTTCAGAGGCAGAGAAAGAGAGAGAGAGAGAGAGAGGGAGGGAGAGAGTTTACACCTGCTGAAAAGGACTGGGCCAGGAGGCAGCCAGCAGCCAGCAACTCAACCCAGGCCTCCTCCGCAGATGGCAGAGACTCAACTACTTGGGACATCACCACATGCCTCCCAGGATCTGCTTTAGCAGGAAGCTAGAGTAGGGAGCTGAGCCAGGACTTGAACCCATGCATTTTGATATGGAAAGTGTGTATTCCAGACTGTGTCTTAACCACAAGGCCGGTGTCTAGCTCTATTAATATTCTTCTTAACTGTGTTTTTAAAAAGATTTATTTATTTATTTATTCAAAAATCAGAGTTACACAGAGAGAGAAGGAGAGGCAGAGAGAGGGAGAGGTCTTCCATCCGCTGGTTCACTTCCCAATTGGCTGCAACCGCTGGAGCTATGCAGATCCGAAGCCAGGAGGCAGGAGCTTCTTCCGGGTCTCCTCTGCAGGTGCAGGGGCTCAAAGATTTGGGCCGTCTTCTACTGTTTTCCCAGGCCATAACAGAGAGCTGGATTGGAAGTGGAGCAGCCGGAACTTGAACCGGTGCCCATATGGTATACCAGCACTGCAGGCGGCGGCTTTACCTGCTACACCACAGCGTTGGCCCTGTTAACTGTGTTTTAGATGATCTCTAAGTTCTCCAGCAGCTCTGTCATTGGGCCTCCTCCATCCCAGCCAGAGCTGTCAAAAAGCAAGATCCTGCATCATTCGGTGGGGACTAGGGTGGGGGTGGGGGTTGGGGGGTAAATAACATCTGAAGTCCCTGGATGGGGACCAGGTGCTGTCACATCTCCTAGGATGAGTGCCCATCTATGTCTGAAGAGCCCTGGTCATCACGGGGTATGAGAAACCCTGACCCTGGGGTAGAAAGCAAGGGAGACAGAGATGGGAGGCTAACCAGTGCAACAGGACTCCAGAGCAGGGCTTCCTTCTGGGCCCAAGCACCCAAAGAAGCAGATGGTAGCCAACGGGCCAGGAGAGATGGGGTGCTGAGGACTGCGGCACCAGGGGCAGCCCCCGCTGAGCTCCAGCTAACCACCGCCAGGAGAGAATGTGGACCCTGTATCGCCAAGGACCTCATTCTCAAGAGAAGTCAGAAATAAAAACATTCATGCAAAATCTTCCCTTTTTTTAAAAAAGAGAAAATCCTTGCTCTTTAACTTAAAAGTTACTTGTATTTGAAGAAGGAGCCCATTCATATCTTCTCAAAAAATTGAAAGGAAATAGGATTTATAGTGAAATAGTCCCTGGAGCCGGCGCTGTGGCGTAGTGGGTAAAGCCTCTGCCTTCAGTGCTGGCATCCCATATGGGCACTGGTTCGAGTCCCAGGTGCTCCACTTCCAATCTAGCTCTCTGCCATGGCCTGGGAAATCAGTGGAAGATGGCTCAAGTCCTTGGGCCCCTGCACCCCAGTAAGAGGCCCGGAAGAAGCTCCTAGCTCCCAGCTTTGAATCAGTGCAGCTCTGGCCATTGTGGCCATTTGGGAAGTGAATTGGCAGATGGAGGACCTCTCTCTCTCTGTCTCCTTGCCTCTCCGCTCTGTAACTCTGCCTTTCAAATAAATAAATAAATCTTTAAAAAAATAGTCCCTCCCCTCTCCCCCATAACCCAGCCAACAAGTTACCCCAGAGTCCATCACTGTTGCTTCTGTCTCGTGTCATTCCAGGATGTCCTAAACATGCAGAAGCAAAGATTATTTTTCCTTTACTCACACTGATTATAATAAACTTGTCACAGTCTATTATATTGTGCACCTTTTCTCTTAAAATTTATCTTTCACAGTCTTTCCTGTCGATACATAAATAGATTCCTTATTTTTGGCTCACATATTTCTTTATGTGAATGCACAATCATTTATTTAACCAGACTGCTTTTGATGGGCAGAGAGATCACAAAGCTTTGCTGTGATAAATAAGCCTGTCTTCATATTATTTCACACATTGATAAATCTACCTATTGGATAAAATGCCTAGAAGCGAAAGTTGTGAATCAAAGGAATGCATATTTATGATTTTGGTAGTTACTGGAAATTTCTCCATCATAGGGATTGTACAAATTTACATTTCTACCAGTAATATATGTAAGTGCCTGTTTCCCCACACCCTCCCAAAGATGTGTATTATCAAACTTTAACAATTTTTTGTGTGTGACAAACTGACAGGTGCAAAATAGTAACTTGGTTAGTTTTCATATATTTTCCCTATTATGAGCGTAGTTGACCCTTTCACACGTTTAAAGCACATGTATTCCTTTTCACTGAATTATCCTGCCATACCCTTTGTCCATTTTTTACTAGAGTTCCTGATTTCTTATTCACTTGTAGGAACTCTATACATTAGGGGAATTAATCCTTTGTTTGGAATAAGTTGTAAATAAGTTTCTTAGCTTGACAGAGGACTCTTTTTTTTTTTTAAGAGATTAATTTTATTTATTTGAAAAGCAGAGTGACAGAGAGGGAGAGACAGAGAGAGAGAGAGAGAGAGAGAGAGAGAGAGAGAGATCTTCCATCTGTTGATTTACTCTCCAAAGCTGTGATTGTTGGGGCTGGGTCAGGCCAGCCGAGAACTCCATCTGAATCTCCCACATAGGTATCAGGGGCCCAAGCACTTGGGACATCCTTCGCTGCCTTCCCTGTATTAGCAGGGGGCCTGATTGGATTCGGAGTAGCTGGGACTCGAACCATCACCCCAAAATGGGTGGGATACCAGTGTTGCAGGTGACAGCTTAACCCATTGTACCACAATGCTGGCTCCAGGACTCTCACTTTTTAAAATATTGCATTAATGGGACTTAGGATATGTTAACCCAAAATATGACTGCAGGAGACCAGAATAGGCCACTCCAAATATACAAGAATTATTTTGAGCTGTTCACTTTTTTAAAAAAAAAGTTTTCTTTTTCTTTTTTAAAGATTTACTTATTTATTTAAAAGGCAGAGTGACAGAGAAAGACATTGAGAGAGAGAGAGAGAGATGTTTTCCATCCACTGGTTCAAGCTCCAAATGGCCACAACAACCAGGCCTAGGCCAGGTTAAAGTCAAGAGACAGGAACGCCATCGGGGTGTCCCACATGGGTGGCGGGAGGACAAGTACTTGGGCCATCCTCTGCGAGAGCACATTAGCAGGGAGCTCCATGGGAAGCAGAACAGCCGGGACTGGAACCGGCACTCCAATATCAGACGCCAGTGGCCACAATGCCGCCCTGGAGCTGATGCGTTTAAGAAACAGCAGGAGGCTGGCATTGTTGTGTAGCAGGTTAAGCTGCCGCCTGTGCCACCAGGTCCCATTGGGAGCGCCGGTTCAAGTCCCCACAGCTCTGCTTCCGATCCAACTCTCTGCTAATGCATCTGGGAAAGCAGTAGAAGATGGCCCGAGTACTGGGGGCCCCTGCATCCACATGGGACCTGTGGAGATGGAGTTTCAGGCTCCTGGCTTTGGCCTAGCCCAGCCCCAACCATCACGGCCATTTGGGAAAAAAACAGTGGAGGGAAGATTGATCTCTGTCTCTCTCTGTCATGCTGCCATTCAAATAAATAAATATATAAATACAAATCTGTTATATATATATCTGTTTATATATATATATAAATCTTTAGGAAAAAGGCACAGCAGGAAACGGACTTCAGCCTGGTGGTTGAGATGCCCTTGCCCCCACATCAGAGTATCTGGTTAAATTCCCACCTCTGGGAGTAACTGTGGTGCTTGGAACAAACACATCCCATAGGGCGGTGCCAGTCTGAGTCCCTGCTGCTCCACTTCCCATCCAGCTCCCTGCTAATGCACATGGGAGGCGGCAGAGGACAGCCCAAGGGCTTGCACCTATCACCCACGGGGAGACCCCGGTGGTGTTGTTCCTGCTTCAGCCTGGCTAGCCCAGGGTGTTGGAGGAATTTGGAGAGTTGATGAGCAGATAGAAGATCTCTGTCACTCTTATAAATAAGTCTTTAACAGAAAAAAAAAAAAAAAAGAAAAGCTGTTTCCCAGAGCTGCCCGGGGCCCGGGGGCTGCCACTTCCCCATGGCCTCCGTTGTGCCGCCCTTGCGGATGCGTGGCCACTCCGGGCTATAATGGGGGTACACACAAGGCCTACAATTAAGGGAGGGTGAACAGCCTTTCTTGGGGCGAGGGTCCCTTCTGGGGCTTCCGGCACCACAGCGTTTTCCAAATTGGCGTGTAGTAGGCGCTAAGAAGGCACTGACAGAAGTCTGTTGAAGCCCCCAAACACGAACGAATGGGTGCCAGAGCGCCCCCTCGCGGTGTTCTGCACGCAGCCGCCTGGAAGAGGCGCTGCCACCGAGCGCGGGACGGCACAAAGGAACCCAAACGGCCGAGGGAGCGGGACATGGAGCACGGGGGCCCACGGAGGGAATATGACCTGCAGGGGGTGGGAAAGGGGCTGATGTAGGGCGGCGGTCTGACGGCGGAGGCCGCCGGGGAGCTTGTGTGTTTGTGACAAGCATCCCTCATGCTTACAGCGAGGAGTGTCGGGGTGTGGCGTGGAGGGGGCTCATAAGAAACGGGGGCTCCCACGGCCCGGCCGCCGGCTGGGACGCGAGCCTGGACGGGCAGGCCCCAGCCCCGCGCCCTCTGCGCGGCGCCCCGCGGCGGGACGCAGGGACCAGGCCGCGCCGCACACAACGCGCAAGTCCCGCGCACCGCAGCCCACCGCGCCGGCGGCCGGCCCCGCCTCCCGGTCTGAGCAGAGCAGGTGCGAGGCGGGTCCACACCGCACGCCGCGGCGCGGCGGGGCGGGGCTCTCGGAGGCGGGACCCGGAGCGGGGCGTGCCGTGCGGTGCCGGAGCTAGGTGCTCGGTCCGGCGGGAGTCAGCCGGTGGCCAGCCCGCGGTCCCGAGATGACGGCCAGCAAGCGAGTGGCGAAGGTAACCGCGGGTCGGAGGCCTGGTTCTTGGGGCGCTCGGAGCGCACCTGTTCGCTGGTGTGCGTCCCAGCGCCGGCTGGCCGGCTCGCTTTCTTCCCCGAGGAGGGGTGGGTCTGCGGGAGGGGCAGAGCCGGAGGGGTGTCGCCAGCTCCGGGAGCTGTGCTGGGGCCTCGCAGACTGGTTTCAGTTTCGTTTCTCCTGCCCGCAGCCCGTGAGAACAGCTGAGCGAGTCTCAGGTGTAGGCAAGGCTCCTTGGCTGGTGCTGGGCGTTGTGCTAGCGGCTGGTGGGTGGGTGGGTGGGGGGATGGGGTGGGTTCAGAACAGGCCAGGGTGCATCCTGCAGTCTGATACCGGGTACCCCAGATACTGAATGAGACCTTCGGACTACTTTTAAAACTCGAGTCATGTCATTAAATCTGCATGTGCACAAGAGAGGAATAATATTTTCATCAGCGTTTGAATGCTGGTGTCTGCTGGGAGTAGAGATTAACGCGTGTTCGTTCTATCGACTCAAGTATTCTTGGTGTGGTCGCTTTCCCTGTTTGTTCCATAGGCCAGTGATCCTGGAATCTGAGAGCTTGAGCCTTGACAGGTTATGTGAAGAAGCGTTTCAAACAATTTTGGGACAAATCTTATTTTGTGTTTATGGGAGAATGTAAATCATCTTTGAAGCCACTTAAAACCAGTGGCTCCAAGTTGGAGACTGGTGAAGAAGTTGTTTCCTGGGACACCATTTGGCATTGCAAATCAGTGAGCCTTTTCCTCTAATGCTTCAAGCAACTCCTTTAGGCTTGTGATATAAACTGTGTTTTCCTGCTTCTTGGAATATGGTTCATATGCATATGCTCACTTTAGTAACACTGATGAGGCAGGCCAGTTCTTCTCATTGACGCACATGGCCCAATATAAGCTCATCCAGGAGGCTTGAAACGCTACTGGTTTAGTCTTGTGAATTTTAGCAGTTCTGTGTCATTACTTAACAGAACTGACAACTGTACAACTTCTTTTTTTTTTTGACAGGCAGAGTGGACAGTGAGAGAGAGAGACAGAACAGAAAGGGTCTTTCCTTTGCCGTTGGTTTCACCCTCTCAATGGGTTGCCCCGGCCCGGCCCACCGCGGCTGATCCAATGACCAGGAACCAGGGTCTTTTCCCGGTCTTCCAAGGGGGGGCCGGGCCCAAGTACTTGGGCCATCCTTCACTGCACCCCCTGGCCACAGCAGAGAGCTGGCCTGGAAGAGGGGCAACCGGGACAGAATCCAGCCCCCCGACCGGGACTAGAACCCGGTGTGCTGGCGCCGCAAGGCGGAGGATTAGCCTAGTGAGCCGCGGCGCCGGCTTGTACAACTTCTTTTAAGATTTATTTATTTGTTTGAGAGGCAGAGTTACAGAGAGAGGGAGAGAGAGGTCATCCACCTGCTGGCTCATTCCCCAAATGGCTGCCTTATCCCAGCAGCCAAAGCCAAAAGCCAGGAGCCAGGAGCTTCATCTGGGCCTCCCATTGTGGGTGGCAGGTGGCCCAAGCCCAAGCACTTGGGCCATCTGCTGCTGCTTTCCCAAGTGCATTAGCAGGGAGCTGCATCAGAAGTGGAGCAAGGGCTGGCTCTGTGGCATAGCAGGTTATGCCACCTGTGGTGCCCACATCCCATCTGGCTGCTGGTTGGAGTCTTGACTGCCCCACTTCCAATCCAGCTCCCTGCTAATGCACCTGGGAGAGCAGCGGAAGATAGCCCAAGTGCTTGGGCTTGGGCCACCTGCCACCCATGTGGGAGACCCAGATAAAATTCCTGGCTCCTGGCTTCAGTCTGGCCCAGTCCTTGTTGTGCCAGCCATTTGGGGAGTGAACCAGCAGATGGAAGACTCTGTCTCTCTGCCTCTGCCTCTCTCTGTCTGTAACTCTGCCTTTCAAATAAATAAATAAATCTTAAAAAAAAAAATGCTAAGCTGCCAGGACTTGAACCAGCACCCATATGGGATGCAGGTGTCACAGGCAGCGGCTTACACCATCAGACTGCAGCTCCAGGCCATGCACGACTTCTTAGGCTGTAGTTTCAGTCTCTGCTAGTTCATATGGCATTATTTTGGACAGTCTTTGGTTAAGCATGGTGCTTGTACTGGTTAAATAAAATGTTAACATGAAAAAAGAAAGGTGGGAGTGGGGCACAAAGTTCTCTGTATATTCTCTGGAAGAAAAAAAAAAGGCAGAGCCAGACCTGGAGGGCTTGCTGGAGTTGGTGGCTTTTATGAATGCATTCTACAAATGTTCAGTACCTACCGTGGGCTGGACCTGTGCTAGCAGGTGCGGGACAAAAATTCTACCTTTGCTGAGCTTTCGTTTCTACCAGGGACACAATATGAAGTGAGATTTGGGAGGAGGCTGGGCTGGGGGCAGTTTCCCTCAGGAGGTGGGAAATTCCAGGGTGTTTGGAGACTGGGGGTGCAGCCAGGACTGGAGATACATGAGGGAGGAAGAGCGATGCTGGTGAGTGGAGCTGGCACCCTTGCAGGCTCTCAGTCTCCTAGAAATGCTCTTGCAATCTGCAGGGTGGTGGGGGCAGGCGCCGGGCAGGTCGAGGGGGGTACCTGCTACCTTCAGCATCCAAGAAGGAAATGGGTGTCCACTGGGCCACTCAGAGTGGGCTCAGCCCACAAGAACTGGCAGCAAAATAGGCAGAGAGCCTTCCAGCCAGACAGGAAAAACAGTATTGATTGCACTGGCACCATGAAGTGTGAAGTGGTTTATAACACTTATTTCATCCAATTCTCACAGCAGCTCTGTGGGGTAAGTAATACATTCCCATTTTACAGATGGGGAAGTAGAGCCAGAGAGGACACCTTGGCTGTCCAGAGTTGTTCAGCAGGGAATGATGGGTTGGGATTTGAGCCAAGGCCCGTGGTTCTAACCACAGGCTCTTAATGGCCTCTCTACTTTCATTTTCTGTTCCTGTAAGTCAGCTGATTTCCTAGCAGGACTTACGAAAGAGCTGTGTGTCCTAGCTTGTGTTTCTACATCCTCCAGCTTCGGGAAGGGCTTGGCACAACTCACCCAAAGCCCTGGATAAAGCCTGAGTGTTCCCACTTAGAGTCAAGTCAGCAGAGTGTCCCTTCCGTATCTTCTCTGTGCAACTGTGGACTTTCTTCTTCTTCTGTTTGAAAAGGTTTATTTGTTTATTGGAAAGGTGGAGTTACAGAGGCACAAAGGGGGAGGGGAGGGGGATGAGGGGGATAATGGGAAGGGGGAAGGGAAGGCGAAGGGGAGGTGAGGGGAAGGGTAAGAAAAGAAAAGGTCCTCATCTGCTTGTTCATTCCCCAAATGGCTGCAACAGCTGGAGCTGGGCCAATCCAAAGCCAGGATCCTGGAGCTTCTTCCAGATCTCCCACATGGGTGCAGGGGCCCAAGCACTTGGGCCATCTTCTATATTTTTCCCAGGTGCATTATTAGGGAGCTGGATTGAACGCAGAGCAGCCAGGACTTGAACCTGCACCCATATGGGATGCCAGTATTGCAGACGGTGGCTTAATCCACTGCGCCACAGCGTCAGCCCCTATTCTTTTTTTCCAAAGATATATTTTTAATTTATTGGAAAGGCAGAGTTAGAGGGAGAAACAGAGAAAGGGAGAGAGGAGAGAGTGACCTTCCATCTGCTGGTTCACTCCCCAAATGACACAGTGGCTGGGCTGGGGCTGGGTCAGGCCAATGCTAGGAACCTGGGACTTTGTCCAAATCTCCCATGTGGGTAGTAGGGGTCCAAGTGCTTGGACCAGCTTCGACTGCTTTCCCAGACACATTAGCAGGGAGCTGGATGGGAAGTGGAGCAGCCGGGACTCGAACCGGCTCCCATATGGGATGCAGCTTAATCCTCTGTGTCACAACAATGTCCCCCCCCCCCCCCCAAGCAGGGCAGAGAGATCGTTCCATCCACTGGTTCATGCCCCCAAATGCCCACAACAGCCAGGGCTGGCCCAGGCTGAAGCCAGAAGCCATGGACTCCTTTCAACTCTCCTTTGTGGGTGGCAGGGAACTAAGCACTTTGGCCACCCACCACTGCCGTCCCAGGTGCATTAGCAGGAAGCTTGATTGTAGGCAGAGCAGCTGGGACTTGAATTGGCACTCTGTCTGATCCGGGATGCAGGTGCCCCAGCCGCGGCCTAAACCTGCTGTGCTGCAGGGCCCCTGCCCCTCGCAGACCTACCTTTAAGTTCACTTCCCACAAGCCTTTTGGGGCCCCGAGTGCTCAGTCGCGAGGGCTCTGACTTTGCTGGTGTCTGACTTGGGATCACTTGCTGATGGCAGGTGGGCGACACGGTGTGGGGGGTGCAGAGTGGGGAGCACTGGGCCGACTGTCCCCTTGCTGTGCCCCCTGCAGGAGCTGGAGGATCTTCAGAAGAAGCCTCCCTCGTACCTGAGGAACCTGCTCAGCGATGATGCCAATGTCCTGGAGTGGCACGCGCTCCTCCTGCCCGTGAGTGTCTGCGGGGAGCCTGGTCTTGGACTGGGGCCAACTTAGGCCAAGGGCATGGGCGGGGAGAATTAGGGTGAGGCAAAATCTGTCCCTGCCATAGCATCTTTTTTTTTTTTTAAGATTTATTTTTTATTTGAAAGGCAGAGCTACAAAGAGGCAGAGGCAGAGAGAGAGAGAGAGAGAGAGAGAGAGAGAGGTCTTCCATCTGCTGGTTCACTCCCCAAATGGCCGCAGCTGTGCCAATCTGGAGCCAGGAGCCAGGAGCTTCTTCTGGGTCTCCCATGTGGGTGCAGGGGCCCAAGGACTTGAGCCATCTTCTACTGCTTTCCCAGACCATAGCAGAGAGCTGGATGGAGCAGCCGGGTCTTGAACCAGTGCCTATACAGGATGCTGGTGCTTCAGGCCAGGGCGTTAACCCACTGCGCCACAGCACTGGCCCCTCCATTTTTATTTTAATCGTGGTAAAATGCACCTAACAGAAGTTACCGTCTTAACTAGTTATTTCTTTTTTTTTTTTTTTTTTTTTTTTTTTTTTTTTTTTTTTTTTGACAGGCAGAGTGGACAGTGAGAGAGAGAGACAGAGAGAAAGGTCTTCCTTTGCCGTTGGTTCACCCTCCAATGGCCGCCGCGGCCGGCGCGCTGCGGCCGGCGCACCGCGCTGATCCGATGGCAGGAGCCAGGAGCCAGGTGCTTTTCCTGGTCTCCCATAGGGTGCAGGGCCCAAGCACCTGGGCCATCCTCCACTGCACTCCCTGGCCACAGCAGGGGGCTGGCCTGGAAGAGGGGCAACCGGGACAGAATCCGGCGCCCCGACCGGGACTAGAACCCGGTGTGCCGGCGCCGCTAGGCGGAGGATTAGCCTAGTGAGCCGCGGCGCCGGCCTTAACTAGTTATTTCTGAGCACACGGTTGGGTGGCATTGGGTCCATTTGCCTTGTTGTGCAACTGTAACCATTGTCCGGCTCTAGGACTTGCTGCCCCTGTGCTGACCTTGCACCTGTTCCACAGTGATTCCCCACTGCTCCCTCCCCCGGCACCTGCAGCTGCTCTTCCGCTTCGTATCTCTGCGAAGCTGAATGTTCTGCGTACCTCACATAAGTAGCATTGTACGGTGGCTTTCGCTTTTTGTCCAGCTCATTTCTCTTGGTGTCACGTTTTCATCCACATAGCACTGGTCAGAATTCCATTCCTTTTGAAGGCCAAGTAGTATTCCATTGTGTGTGTATGCCGTTTTCTGTTGATTTGCCCACCAGCGGACATTGGCCGGCTTGCATCTTTTGGCTGCTATGAATGATATTGCTATGAACACCAATACCTGTTCAACTCCCTCCTTGGTAGTTCTTTTGGGTATGTGCCAGAAGTGTTACTGCTGGACCCTATGATAATGCCACACTTATCTAGTTCCATTTTTAGGGACTGCTGTACCGTTTTCCACTGTAGCTGTTCCTAAGCCTCTGAGTTCTTAGGATTTTCAGAATTTTCTCCTATTTCCTCACTCACTCCCATGGATGCAGTTCTTCTGAACTCGCGAACAGCCGTCAGTAAGAGGCCATTCCATCTTCTTCCTTAATTCACAGACAGATTTTAAAGCTGAGATAGTCCTCAAAGGCCATCTAGTCTGACATTGGAGACAGCGAGGAAGCTGAGGCCTGGGGCTGAAGCTTGACCCCTTCTGTCTCTACAGGACCAGCCTCCCTACCATCGCAAGGCCTTCAGTCTGCGCATCAACTTCCCCAAGGAGTATCCACTCAAGCCTCCCGCGGTGACGTTCACCACCAAGATCTACCACCCCAATGTGGATGAAAACGGGCAGGTCTGCCTGCCCATCATCAGCAAAGAGAACTGGAAGCCTTACACCAAGGCCTACCAAGGTGGGGCTGGGCCTTACCCCTGAGGGCGACACTGTTACTGGGTGGAGGAAGTTAGTGGACTTATTTTGAGTTAGACAAGCCTGAAAGAGAGGAGATAAAATGTGAGTCTCCGTGGAACCTACCGTTAGAGAGAAGGGGTGCCTCCTGAGATCCTGGATGCTCCTGGGCAGGTGTGACAGAGGAACTTGACCATGGACATGGGAAAGAGAGGCAGCGTGAATGCAGGGGGCAGGGCTTGGGACTAAGAAGGCCTGCTGCCCCATGTGTGGACTTAGGGCAAGACTCTATTCCTCTGTGGGACTCAGCACCCTAAGTGACAGTTGACAGTGGAGGGGATTGTCCTAACTGTGACAGTATTCATCCCTTAACTAAGCGCTGTCAGTGCACTGTGCAAAGAGCACTGTGAGCCTGCCCGCATCACCCCCAGGAGGTAGTGCTGTCATTAGCCCCATGTAATAGAGCCAGAGGCACATGAGTGGTGAAGCCGCTGCCTAAGGTCCTGTGGCTTGCAGATGGCAGAGCTTGGCTGACTCTAGAGCAGTGTTGTCCAGCTGAACTTGGTGCGGCCATGGAAATTTCCACAGCCCCACTGTCTGGTACCATCATCCCGGGCCTCATGTGGCTGTGCAACCAAGAAACAGAATTCTTCATGATGTTTTTTGTTGTTGTTTTTGTTTTTGTTTGTTTTAGGAAAGCTGTGGCCCATATAGGGGGCAAGATATTTTTTTAAAGGTTTATTTATTTTTATTTGAAAGTCAGAGTTACACAGAGTGAGGAGAGGCAGAGAGAGGGAGAGAGAGAGGTCTTCCATCCGATGGTCTACTCCCCAGTTGGCCGCAATGGCTGGAGCTGTGCTGATCTGAAGCCAGGAGCCAGGAGCTTCTTCCGGGTCTCCTCTGCAGGTGCAGGGGCTCAAAGACTTGGGCCGTCTTCTACTGTTTTCCCAGGCCATAGCAGAGAGCTGGATTGGAAGTGGAGCAGCCAGGTCTTGAACTGGTGCCCATATGGGATGCCAGCGCTTCAGGCCAGGGCGTTAACCTGCTGAGCCACAGCTCCCACCTTGTTCATGTTGTTTAATTTTAGTTAATTTAGAAAACTACATGGAGCTCCACATTGAACAATGGAGCTCCAGAACCCATGGGCTTCCTCTGGGTGCTGTCGTGTGTCTGGTCCAGCTCGGGAATTCTTAACCTGGGAAACAAGACTCTTGGCGTGGTGGTGGTGGGGCTGGGATGTGGGAGAGGTCCTAGGATGAGCCTCAGGGCTCTGTGGTGACGCACTGTTCACTCAGAGCTGTGTTTATGTGCGTACACATGTGTACTTGGGCTTCCACCTGCACGGGGCTCCCAAGGGCATCTGGAAAAGATTAAGTGCCATAGCAATAGGTTTTCCATCTTCAGCCTTAGAACCTTTTTTTCCCAGATAAATTTATTTGGAATCCCAGAATAACAACAGAAAACCAGGATGGGTCTTGTCGAAATGGGGCTGAAACCCCAAAATCTCTCTTATCTCAGTGACCCCAGAATGTGTAACTTTTCTGAAGCCATAGGACATAGCTGTTTGTAAAACACTGATCTCACCCGGCAAAGCTTTGGGCATCGTCCACCAGGAAGGGGAGGCAGTCTAAGAGATGGACTGTCCTTGGGGGTCCCCCTGAGCAGTGAGTGGGGGGATCCGGGGAGTGGACAGCCAGTGCCTCTATCCAGGGTTTTTCCCTCTGCCCTGATGTCCCGCTCTGGCCTCTCTCCACAGTCTTGGAGGCCCTCTACAATTTGGTGAATAGACCGGATCTGGCGGAGCCCGTGCGGGTAGAGCTGGCTGACCTGCTGACCCAGAACCCGGAGCTGTTCCAGAGGAAGGCAGAAGAGTTCACCCTCCAGTTCGGAGTGGACCGGCCCTCCTAAATTGGGTTTTGACCCCATCTGCGTGGGATCCTCTGCATGGTGGACCAATATACCTCACGGACTGGGGCTGGAGCCCCTGGATGAACCACTCCCCACTCAGTTTTTCCTTCTTAGGTTGCTAGCCATGAGTTTGTGTATGTGTGTGTGGCAGGAGGGAGGCTGTGGATGTGTGTGTGGTGTGAGGCCTCGCTGCCCCCAGGTTCACCTGGCCACAGGTGTGCCCTGCCCACTCCCTGAGCCTTCCCCACAGCCAAGGGGGTTTAAGTTTGCAGAGTGAACAGGTTAAATCTCCAGGGAGAGAGAGACAGGTCACATTCTAAGTCAGCCTGCTGGAAACCAGGATCCCTCCAGGGTCCAGGGCCCCAGGGAGCAGGGAGTATGGATGGGAAGCCGGGCTCGTGGAGGGCACTGTATTTCATATTTCAGTGGAGTGGTTGAAACCAGCCAAGCTACTGAGCGCCATGCACCGATTTAGGTGCTAAACCATTCATTTTCCATTTTCCACTGTTGAATCCTAAAACGAGGAGTCTGACCTCCATCCGGGGAGTCTGACTGTGTATTTTGACATTTCCTGCTATCCTGCCAGGTGGCCAGTTCCTGGGGACGGTAAGGCTGTGGCCAGCACCCGGTCCAGCAGAATCTACAGAGCCCAGTGCTTGCCTGGCCAGTGACGTCACAGATGGGGCAGGCAGTTGGCCTAGTGGTCAAGACCCTGGTTGGGATGGCCACGTCCCATACTGGAGTGCCTGGGCTTGAATCCCAGCTCTGCTCTCGACTCCAGCTTCCTGTTCGTGGGCACTGTGGGAGGCAGTGGGGGAAGGCTCAAGTGATTGGATCTCTGCCACCCTCCTGGGGGACCTGGATTGAGTTCCCAGTTCCTGATTCCCCACCCTTAACCCCCGCCCAGTGTCGGAGATTGAACCAGTGGATGGGAGTGCTCTCTCTCTCTCTCTAACAGAAATTAAACTTTAAATAGAAATGTTTTCTATGTCACAGGTGAATTCTGGGGTTGTGTCTCCAGTGAGGGGTGGGGTGGTTTCATCCATACCAGAGAGGGGGCTGCCCCGGCTGCTGCTGCCCCACAAACCCGTCGCCCTGCTTCCCGGACGCTGACCCCCAGCAGAGGTCCTCCGGAGTCCAGGGGCTGGGGGGCGGCCGTGTGGCACCGCGTTTGAGTCACTGCTGGGGACGTCTGTGTTCAAGTCCCAGGTGTTCTGCTTCTGATCCACTCAGCTTCCTGAATTGCCGGCATTTGGGAAGTGAACCCCCGGCCGGAACATCGCTCTCCATCTGTCTCGTGGTGTCTTGCTGTCTCTGCCTTTCACATGACACGAAAGTAAATAGGTTTTGTGAAAAGGTTCCCAGGGGTATCCACCGTTTTAGAGATGAGGCAGCCAAGGCACGGAGCGGCCCTTCGGTGGATCCCTTGGGTCCGTATTGCCAGTTAGGATGGACTCCACGCCTCCTGCAGCCACGCATCCTGGCTGGGGTTTTTGCTGTGTTTTTTTTTTTGTTTGTTTGTTTTTCGTGATCTGCTTTCATCAGCACTCACACCGCAAATGGCTGATGAAGCCGGACTGGCTTGGCAGGCTTGGGGTTGCCCAGGGATGCATCCTCACGGGGCCACAGACACAGGCTGAACGTGCAGCCGGAGTTGGAGGGGTTAATTCAGCCCGAAGGAGGAACTTGCTGGTTGCCACGGTTGGGAGCTCCTGGGAGGCTGCAGGCTTCTCAGAGCCTCAGAGCCGGATGCCGGGTGTCAAGCCCAGGGAGTCGCCAGTTCAGGTTTGGTGAGGTTTCTGGAGACATCTTCTACTGCAGCTCCTGCCCTGGAGTTCCCTAACTGAAGAAGTGTAGAGAGAGGGGAAGAGAATGGGGAAAAGTGCCACCAATGGCTCCAAAGTGGAGGGTTTAAAAAAATATTTTTATCTGAGAGGCAGAGTTAGAGAGAGAGAGAGAGGGAGAGAGAGACCTTCTATCTACTGGTTCACTCCCCAAATGACTGAAACTGGCCAGGGCTGTTCCAGATTGAAGCCAGGAGCCCGGAGCTGCTTCAGGATCCCCCACACGGGTGCAGGGGCCCGAGCACTTGGGCCATCTTCTGCTTTCCCAGGTGTATTAGCAGGGAGCTGGGCGGAAGTGGAGCAGCTGAGACTTGAACCGGGGCCCACTGGGAGTCCAGCGTCTGTTAAACCAGCCCCCGAGTTTGTCTTTTAATTTTGGCTTCCACTTGCTGAAGGTCTATGTGGCAGGCACCTGGGAAACTGGTCTAGCTGTTTGATGATCTCATTGAACCCTCACAGCACCGCCATGAGGTCACAACTCCCATTATCCCCTTTCAGACCGCACACGGGGACCACAGTCACACAGCTGGTTGGTACTGGTGGGACTCGGGCTACTGTGCTTTCCCAAACACCTGGCGCAGTTGCTGAGATCAGGTGCTGCCAGGGTGTAGTGTCCCAGAGTGCAGAGGCTCATGGATCGGGTAGGGAGCGAGCAATGAGGGGCCAGCCAGGATTTTACAAAAGTACTTTTAATGCAGTTAAGACCCTGCCAGCTGCCCTTGCCTGCGTCTGAGCCCCAGCTCTGCTGCCCGCGTGGAGCAGAAGCGAGCTCCTGGCCTCAGCCGGTCAGCTGGGCACCCTGCCCGCCTCTGCCCACAGGGCCCGTTGGCTTATTTCTTCTTGGTCTTCACCAGCCCTTTCTGCACGAGGCTGCGGTACAGCTCCTGAATGTAGGTGTAGACGCACTTGGAGTCGGGCACTGCCAGCCGTACCATGTCATCCACCTCCAGCAGCTGGGCACAGTCGGCCAGTTTCCTGGGGGTGGTGGAGAAGAACCACAGGTCAAGGATGTGGGGTGGAGGCAGCCACGCCATTGCATCAGGTATGGTGGGGCTGGGAGAACAACTAAGCCAACCATCGCATTGTACGGGTGGGATTACTGCAAAGGCTCAACCCCAGCTGGGTCTGATTCCAAGGCACACATTTTCACCGTGCATGGGCCCTCATACCTCACAAGGAATGGGACGCTCTGGTTTCTGCTCCTACACTAGCCCCTTCTTGTGCAAGCACATAGGAGCGTATCTTTCCTCTGGGGCCAGGGAGCCCCAGTGAGGCCAAGCCCCCAGGAAGCATTGAAAGGGCAGAAACCGAATCCCAGCTGGAATACTGGCTTGCAGCTGTGGCACCTCCAAGGGCCTCATTCCTTCAGTCTCTGTGTATTTATTAAGAGCCTCCTATGGGCCAGGCTCTATTCTAGGCTCGGGGAATTCAGCAGTGAACAAAACCAGAAGCTTCCCTACTCCCATGGCCCTGCCATCAAACACCTGAAGTAGATAGGACGTAGATGGCGAGGGGCAGCCGAGAGAGACGAGGCAGGAAAGGCAGGCAGGTGTATACCTACATTAGGATCCAGTATTTTAAAAAGGCTGCCCAGGAGAAGGTCTCTTCGAGGGAGAATTCATGTGTGCATCCAGGGGAAAGGATTCCAGGCAGAGGACAACAGCATGTGCCAAGGCCCGGAGGCAGGAATGTTGGAGGAGCTGCCCAGAACTCAGCAGCAAGTCCTCTCCTAACTGCCCAGCTTCCCTTTGGGGCTGTGGGATGCTCCTGGCTTTGCTAAGGCTGAACATTGCTGGGGCCTCACTGCCACATGCCAGGCGCTTTATCAGGTTTCCCCTGGCATGAGCTCATGGACTCCTCTTTATCTCCAACCAGCAGGAGACAAACTGCGGTTGTTTGCCCAAGGTCAAAGTGAGTGCCCCAGCAGGGCCGCAGCCCAGGCCTGCCCGATGCCTCTGGCACTCTTGTTCTGCAGCTGGCCTGAGCAGCCCCAGCCTGACAAAGCCAGGGTGCTGGCCACAGAAGCCAGGGCCCCAGCGGGAAATCCTCTGAGACAGCTGGGCTGAAATCCAAGCGGGGCTGGCCTGGGAGCTGGGGGAGGGGTGCAGACTGGATGATTTCGAAGAACTCCCTGGAACAGTGCAGCGATCTGAGCCCTCTGGGTGCAGGTTGGGGAGTTGTCCTCCCTACATGGGAGAGGCAAAGCCTTCATTCCCATGGAGACCAGGGAATGGGGCAAAACTTCAGGGGATAAGGCTTCCAGAGGGGTAAGTCAACTGCCAGTGGTCACCAAGTTAGGAAGGAGTCAAGTGAAGTGCCTTCACGCAGCCTGTCATGCTCCTTGTATCATTCCTTCCTGTGGCCCTGCCTGGCTTGGAACCAGAGGCCAGGTAGCCGCAGCAGGAGAGTGAGCCATGCCCTGCTGGCCAGGGAAGTGCTGTGGGCTGGGGCAGGGTTGCAAGCCTTTCTCGTGTCTGTTTAGAGCTCTTAGTCCAGACGAGCGGTTTCCCTCTGGAGCCCTGTCCACTACAGCTCCTCTGTGCAAACCCAGGGAGTCAGCGTCCACCGTGCAGAACTGTTGTGAGCATGGCATGAGATGATCCGAGCAAAGCCCTGGCTCTGAGCCACTGGATTCCTGTGGCTGGGCATCCTGTGACAGGTGATTCTGAGCCCACAGCAGGACATGGGGCTCCCCACCCCCGGCCAGGACACCCACCCATCCCTTAGCATGATGACACGACACTGGAAGACTTTGTGGACCATTGAGGCAGGTGGCTTTTAAATGGCATCCCTGGTGTCCGAGGGCCCAGTGGACGTGCCCTCGGACCATCTTGGGAAGGAGAGCTTGGGCCTCAAGCTCCTCCAACTAAAAAGCACTCCCTTTCATCTGTTGGGTATGTTGGACATTCATTTAATGTCTTGTCTGGGGATATCTGCTGATCAAAACAAAACGGTGCAAAGCACAGATCAATATTAATCCTCTCATTTTGCCAATGGGGATGTGCACGCCTCCCTAAGGGTTGGTGGCGAGGCCTGGACTAGACGGGAGGACCCAGCGTCCCCGTCGACGCAGTCTTTGCCCAGGGGCTTTAGAAGTGCCCGCGGCTGTCCACTGTGGATCCTCAGAGCAGTTCTGTCTGTATAGACAGGTGGATCAGAAGCCTCCCGTCGGGGTCCTCCCTGATGCTGGAGAGAACAGCTGCTCTGGGCCAAACACCTTGTGGGGAGAGACGGAGGCCGTGGGCCGAGGCTGGCTTCGTTGCTTTGGTGGTGGGAGCACCTCCCCCAGGCCACCATCCTGGCAGCCTCATAGTTGCCGGAGTCTCCTCCCTGGGCCACACACCCCTTGCCAAAATCTGACCCCTCCATTCTTTCTCCAGCACCCACCGTCCCTGACACTGGGCTGTATGAGCTTCTGCAAGAGCTCCCCCTGCAGGCTTCAAAGTGAATAACAACAATAACTGCTATCCACCACCATAACCGCAGCTAAGGTTTTTTGAAATGCTTACGGTGCATTAGATACTGTTAAAGGAACTTTGCTAAATTCCCACAATAACTCTGCAAAAGAGGATGTGTCATACCCATTTTAGGGATCAAAATACAGAGGCTCAGGAGCCTGGCCAAGATCACACAGCTGACACGCCTCTCCCTGATCCCTTGCCCTGCCTGATTTTTCTCCCTTGCTGCCTTCCAGCATTATTCAATTCATGCATTCTCCATAGTTGCAGGTCCCACGCCTGTGGATTTAGCCAATCTTGATAGAATACATGTAGGAAAAAAAGTTGTATCTGTACAGAACACGGGCAGACAGCCTCCCCCCACCCCCACCATTGTTCCCTGAACAATTCAGTATAGAAACTACTTACATAGCATTTACATTGTATTAGGGATTGTGGGTAATCTAGAGATGAACTAAAGCACGCAGGATGCAAATACGGTGCTGTGCTATGTAAGGGCCGTGGGCATCTGCAGATTCTGGTCTCTTGATGGGGGAGGGGGTGGACAAGGCGGGGCGATTACATTTGCACCTGTGTGTGTCTGTGGTCTGTTGCTCTCTGCAGAACCTAAGTCACAGGCCAGCAGGGACTTTTGTTTCTTACACACACACACACACACACACACACACACACGCCCTTCTGCCGTATATCCAGGGCCTGAAATAGAACCTGGCGCTCAGAACAATACCTGTTGGCATTTCTCCCTGTGGGACCCAGTGAAAATGCAGCCCTGGCCTTTGGAAGCCCCCACCTGCCACCCTGCGGCCAAGGCTTACTCTGCTGTGGAGAAGGCCAGGGTGAAGTTGTGCCGCCGCTTGGTGGGGTCCAGCTCCGCGTAGTCGAAGGCGTCTGGGAAGAACTTGTGGATGAGGGCACAGAAGGCCATGCCACTGCTCCAGCTGGACGAGAAGTTCTGGATGTCCACGTGCTGCGGGCAGAGGAGGCCGCACTGAACCAGGGCCAGAGGGCCTGGACCTTGCCCCTTCCTACCCTCCCACCTCTTGGGGTGTGCCCTGGGGAAGAGACTCGTGGCCCGCCCGTGTCCCCACCTCATAGTTTCTTGTCATGGCCCGGCACCACTCCAACAGCATGTTCTTGACCCCACCAATGGCTGCCCCAGCTGCCTTAGTGTTCCGGAAAAGAGCAGTGGGGCCCGAGGCTGCCCTGTAAGGGAGGGGTGGACAGGCCAGCTCAGGGAGGTGGGAGGAGCCCCCAGATGTCAGCCCTCCCGCCCTGGCCTGAGCCGTCTGCACTGACCTCAGGCCTCCCCTGCAACCCTCCCATGTACGGTTCCCAGGGACAGCCCAGCTCCTCGCCTCCATCCTACCCGCCAAACTTGTCCACGATGGCTTTGCGGTTCTGTGCGCGGGGGCCCCGGGGCCGGGCAGGGGCTGACACCCTGCGCTCTGGTGCCTTCTCCTTCTTCTTCTCCTCCTCCGAGGGAGGGGGCTCCGTGGGACTCTGGGGCATGTCGCTGGGGGAAGACTCACTGCATGCAGAGATCCAGAGAGAGGGGCTAGGACCATCGCTATGGGACACAGGGAGGAAGCTGGGGATTGGGGGGGGTCACTGCAATCTAAGGGGCACGTGAGGTTGTGGCACCTGCAGTCAGCACACATTTACTCTGTGCCCAGCACTGGGAGGGGGTCGAGAAGGAGTAAACGGGCTCAGTCTAACTACAGGGAGCGTCTGGCCCTGTGAGGCTATGGGGCAGAACTGGGACTTGCCTGAGGTCTGATCTGAGTTGGATCCTGGCTTTGCCTCTTATTTGCCGTGTGGTCTTGAGACTGTCTCATCACTTCCCTGTGCCTCATCTCCCTCATCTGAACAATGGGGGCAAGAACGCATAGCCAGCTGCTGCTAAGGCCTTTGTAAGAAGGTGAAGGCAAGGCAGCCAGCCTTGTGTGTGTCCCTGTGTGTCCCTCTGTGTCCCTGGGAACCTGCCACATGGCTGCCTGACAGCTCAGTGAGTATTCTAGGCTAATGTTCTCCAAGAAATGGACCAGGAGGTGGGGTCAGCTTGATATAAAGGAAATGTCCACTTCTAAAACTATGCAGTGGCGAGCATGGAGCTGGCATTGTATCCAGCACCTGCCATGTGGTGGCCATCTTGCTATATGGTACTCTACACCTATGAGGTCACTTAGGCCTCCCAATGAGCCCGTGAGGCCGATTTGCTTCTTAGGCCATTGGAGAAGAGGGTAAGCGACATGGCCAAGGTCACACAGCTGGTGAGTGGCAGAGCCATTGTCCAGACTCGGGCTTTCTGATCACGGGCTCGTGGACGAAGCAGACACCATGGGAACATGCTGCGTTGTGAGACAGGGAGGTCCTGTGAAGAAGTGACTTCAGCTGAGGGGGGAGAGGAACCCTTGACTTCCGGGGCTCTGCCCTGGGGCAGGATGCTGAGCGCCAAGAATCCTGGGAAATGGTGAAATTGGGTGCTAGAGGGAGGCCCAGGCCTGGGCATCGGTGGACTCTGCAGGGAGCGGGAGGTAGGAGTTGGAGCCCTGGAGTTTGACGTTACCTGGCTGAAGGGCTGGTCTCCCCGGAGGCTGGACCCACCCCATCTGGAGGAAAGGAACAGGAGGGAGGGAAGCTGGGTTATCCACGGTGTGCTCCTTGCGCCCTTCCTCAGGGTGGCCCCTGCCACGTCCTGCAGGCCCTGGGCTCCTACTCACCTGGACTGAGGCCCTCCGTGGGGCTCTCAGGCCACTCAGGAGAGCTGGGAACCACGCCTGCCCCTTCCTCTGGCTCTGTCTCCGTGTCCTGCTGCTGCTCTGCAGTGGGGCTGCCTGGCTCCTGGAAGGAACATAATCCACGTCGGCTTGCACCTGCCCATAGCTCTGTGAGGATGCCAGAAAGTTCTGGAAGGCAGCCCGGGGCCACAGCACTGCCCCCGTGATCCCAGCCAGGAGACCCACCCCGTCCTTGGCATCAGTGGGAGGAAGACTCGACTTTCCCAAGGGGATCAAGCAGGGAAGAGTTTGCGTCCCAGGGAGCGGGAGACCCTGGGACTTGGTGGTGGGGGAGGGGGAGGCTGGCTCTTCTTCGCTCGCTGCCTCCTGCACTCACCTCCTCCTGCTTAGTGTCACGTTCAGCCTCCTCACGCTCAGCCTCAGCCTTGTCTTGGGCAGCAGCTGCCTCCTGGGGTTCCGGCGTGGCCTCTGTGTCAGCAGCTTTCTCCTTGGCTTCAGCCTGGGGCTCCTGCACCTTGGCGTTCTCCGGAGCAGCTGCTGCGGCCTCCTTCTCCCCATCAGCCTCCTGGGGCTCAGGCTGGACCTTGTCCTTCACAGATTCCGCCTTGGCTTCTTTCTCATCAGCCTGCGCCTTCTCGGAGGCCAGGGAGGCCTCTTCCTTTTCCTCGGCCTCCTTGGGTTCAGATCCGGTCTCTTCCTTGCTGTCCGTCATCCCCTGAGAAGATGCCGTGTCCTCTCCCTCCGTCGTAGGCTCAGCCTTGGCTGCTTCTTTCTCTCCAGGCTCACTCTGGGATTCCACCTTGACCTCATCTGAACCACTGGCTTCTCCCTGGAGCTCCGCAGACACGCCATCTTCCTGCTTCCCCGCTGTCTTCGGAGGCCTCTCTCCGGCGGTCTCCCCAGCTGTACGCTCAGAGGCCCCCTCTGCAGAGGCACCACCTCCGGGCGTCCCAGCGCCCTCTGCTGTCGGGGCGACAGATGGCCCGTCCTCAGGGGGCTTCTCATCTTTCTGCTCCATCTCTGGAAAGCAAGGACCAGCAGGTCAGGTGGTGTCCCATCCCAGCTCGAGATGAAGACCCCGCCCTCAGAGAGCTCTGGCCCAGGGCCCCGGAGGTCCAGTCCTGGGTCCCCACTACTCAGACGTAGATGGGACCCAACCATCCACTTCCCCGTGGCAAAACGAAGGACAGAGTTCTGCTTCCCAGAAGCTGGGGTGGTTAGGCCGTGTTGATTTAATATTGGCTGGTGTTCACCTGACAACAGGCTATAGATTTGGCTTTTTTAAAAAAAGGTTTATTTCATTTATTTGAAAGGCGGAGTGATGGAGGAAGCAGGGGAGATGGACAGAGACAGATCTCCCATCCACTAGTTCACTTTCCAAATGCCCAGGCACCTGGAACTCCATCCGGGTCCCCCACATGTTTGGTAGGGCCCCAAACACTGGGGCCATCCTGTGCTGCTTATCCAGGCAACTAGACAGGCAGCAGAGTGGCTGGGACTTGAACCAGCGCTCTGTCCAACATGGGATGCCAGTATGGCAGGCGGCAACCTAACCTGCTGTGCCACAGCACCAGCCCCAAACTTTGGCTTTAAAGAACATTGAGTCAGTGATTTTGCCTCTTTTTAGCCCATAATGAGGCAGTTACAATTTGAAAGCAGTGTCCTAGAGCACCTGCCAGCAATCGCGGCTCACCCTGCAGAGCCTAAAGCAGGCAGGACTGTCTGCATAATTTGGATAGCACTGCTTTGCCTGCATTATATTTATTTTTACAGGTACTTTCTATTTCTGGCAAATGAGATTGAGGTTCCGTCCCCAATAGTGACATCGACTGTCTTTAAAATTACATTTATTGGATTTAGAAATGAGTGAACTTGAAGGCAGGCAATCAGGAAATTAGAGTTCAGGTGGTACAGATGTAGCGAAATCACAGAGGCAGTATAAAGATGCCCGTGACATGGGGACCCTGGGCCAACTGTCTGCCAGTCTGTGTTTCTTGGAAAAGGTGAGACTGGGTGAGGAAGAGGCCTCACTGGTGAAGAATAGGAAGGTACTATCCAGCTGCTCTTGGAGCTGGCTGTGGGCGGCATGACACCACCTTGACCTTTGGCAGTTTCCTGTCTAAGTCCCATATATGCTGCAGGACCTATAAAACCCAGTGGGTGGGGGACAGGGCCAGCTCCCTCATCCTCTGCCCTTCTTGGGGTTGGGGGGCCATTTACAAAGCAAACAACCCCCAAATAAGGCTCAGAGCATGACTCAGGCAGTCAGAGAGGTAGACAGTCCTGTCACTGGCTAAAAATACCTCCTGCCTTTGGCAGTACTGTCCGTCTTGGCGATAGTACCCAGGGCACCTGGGTAATTAGGACGGAGGAGGGGAGGCAGGAAGATAGGCAGATGCACTGAGGACTTACTGCCCCCAGACCAGAGTCCTGGGGTCCCCGGGTTTAGTGCCCGCCCCACCCTGACCGTTTCCTAGCAAGCGGTTTAGGATTTGTAAAGATGCTCAGAGCGTCCTGGGCTCCCAGCCCTCCTGCCACAGCTCCTTCATGGTCCAGCAGCTCCGGCAGAGGGCAGATGACCCGGGAGATGGAATGCACATCAGCAGGGAGCCAGGAGGGCATGGAGCTGACCATGACCCCAGCAGCCTGCCGTCACCCACCGCGAGACGGGAGCAAGTCCTTCCGCCTCGCTGGGCCTCAGTTTGCACTCCCCATGACAGGGATCCTCTACAGCAGGTTGTCCAGACTCTGCTCTGCGGAAAACCAGGGTCTCCTATGGCATCCATCAGAACTCTTCTGGGGGCGGGCGGAAGAGGTGTTTGCAAGAGGCCAAGGATGCTCCCCATGCAGCCTACCCTGTACTCTCTAAGAGATTCCCCTCTCGCTGCCACTGGGATTCCAGACGCAGCCTCTATCCGAGCTTCTATTTGCGTAAACTCTGTTCAACTTGCTTTCCCCCAAACCTACTGGCCGTGGATATCTTCCCCCCTCTTTCACTTCTTTTCCTTTCTGTTCCGTCCCCCCACCCCACCCCCCGGAGGATCTGCTGCTCCCTTGAGCCACAGAGAGAGAACAAGGCGAAAGAGAGCAGGACCATGACAGCTCGGAACGACCCACACAAGTCCCCCTTCCTGCCTTTGGAGCGATGGTGAAATCACAGACTCTGGGACCTTCAGGGGCTGGGATCCCAGTTCCCACCATGGGACTGGATGACCTGGATTTCTGGAGGTAAAAATGGGAAGCGCTGGGTAGGGATGGAGGAGGCCAAGGAAGCCCAGGCACAGAGTGTCTGCAGGGAGTAGGGAGTGCACGTCCGTTCATCTAGTGTAGCTTGGCTGAGCCCTGCGTCCCAGGAAGGTGCTGACCTGGCCTTGAGGGCACGTAGTGGTGAGACAAGGCAGAGAGGACAGAGTGCCAGGAAGATGATAGCAGGCTCTTTTTATACCCCGAGGGTGGCAGACTCCAGCTGAGACATAGCTGAGTTCTCCAATCATCTTCCCCCCACACACAGGTGGTGGAAGGACAGGGCAGGTGTATAGACACACACACACACACACACACGCACACACACACCTCGACCATCCTGCGTGTTCATCACCTTGGTTTGCCATCCTCAAGGTTTGTCATAAATAGAGGAGCAAGGAAGCCGGGATCACGCCCCCGCCCCGGCATTCACAGCTCCACAGCTCTCCCCAGCTCCCACTGCCGTGCGTGCCCTGTCTTACCTCCACAGCTCCTCACAATGGCCTCTCTCTCGGAAGAGGTGTTACTGGCCTCATTTTCCAGATTAGGGGGTTGAGGTCTCTTGACTAAAGTCATGGGACAATTAAATGGCCAAACCACACCTAGAACCTGGGTTTCCAGACTCCCAATCCAGAGCCCATACCAAAAGCACTGCTCCCGGCAGCCCAGTGTCCCTTCAAGGGCCCCAGCCCAGAGGGGGGGACAGCCCACCCGAGGAGAAGGGCAGCCAGGTGGCCGAGGTGTTCCTCTCTCTCTCTTCTAATGCACAGTAGGCATTCAACCCCCTGCGTCCCCAGGCAGCTCCCGTATCACCCCTGCTTGTGTCCAGAGCAGCACAGCAGACAGCTCCCCTGTCTCTCTTCCTGTTCCTCTTGGTACACAGGGAGGGGGGAAAATCTGGGTGCCCCAGCTCCAAATTCTAAGCCTTGGTGGTTCTGAGAATGTCTCTACCACTGGCTGCCACCCCGGCTGTTTTCTGGGGGGCGGTCCTGAGGCTTCCACCTCTCCCACCTGGGTCAGGGACCTCCACTCTCAATTTGAGTCCACTTCTTTGAGAGTCTGTCTCCCAACTCCACTGGACTGGCAAGACCCCAAGGTCCCCTCATGCGAAGTCCTCATGGGTGGCCACCTGCAGGCCACTCTGTGGGTGATCTCAAATGCTCACTTCTGAAGGCTGACTCCCCGACTCCTGGTGTCTGAAGAGATTCAGAGGTGGGGAGAGTTAGAGAGGAGCCCAGGGTCCCCCTAACTGTAGGGCCCTCCTTAAAAGCTCAGGCTCCTGGGCTGGCAGAAGCAGGGCGGGGCGGGGAGGGAGGATGCTTAGAAAGGGGCCCAGGGCATCTCCTACCTGCGGGGCCTCTGCCTGGGAGCTTGGGAGCTGTCCCTTCCGCAAGAGGAGCCGCCTCACTCGCGGGCTGCCTTTAAGCCCCAGTGGCCTCTAGCCCCCGGCTCTTGTGTCCCGCCTCCCCCTCCTTTCCTCTCCCCCTTCCACCCGACCCCACCCCCCACTCTAAGAGGCTGGGGCCGCCTGAAGAGCATTGTTTACCGCCCTGTTGGTACAACACTTTCCCCTGGACCGGGAGGCTGGCTCGGGTTTCCCGTGAAGATCTGACAGGTGGCACCTTTCAATCACCGCGAGTCCCTCCCACCCTGACCCTGGCAGCATCTGTCCCTGTGGTCATCTTCCTTCCCGGTGCGCTCTCCTGGCCCTGGGGACCCTGGCAACCAGCTACAGGGCCCACGTGGAGCCTGGTCCCCGGCTACTGGCCTCTGTGCCCGTCCTGAGCCCAAGCCTGGCCTCCCGTGTTGCCCGGCCCCTCCCCCTGCCGCACAAGCCTTCACCGGGCTCCTTTCACTCTTCCTCAGACAAAGCAGCTGCTTACCGGGCAGGGGCAGGCGGGCGAGGAGGGGCTGGCCGGTGCAGCTGCCCGCAGGGGTGTCTCAGGGCTCCCACTAGACTGAGAGACTGGAGAGGGAGGGGGGAGGATGGGGTGAGCTGAGCCATCGCTGGCCTTAAAAGTGCAGGAAACACAATGCTCCCGAGCTCTATTTGGACCTGAAATGACGGGCGCGCGGTATGCTGCGGACACATTTTGGACTAAATTGAAGTTTTGCTCCGGAAAACAAATTGTTACCCCCTCTCTGTGCCCTGCCACCTAAGCAGAGCACCCGCGTTGAAAGTGAGGGAGTGGACGGGGGGATACCCCTGCTGCATAGGAAGCTCGCGATGCCCCAGCCTCCTTCCCCGGTAACCCCCCGGCCGCCCCCACCACCACCACGCAGCCATGCTGGCTTCCGTCCTGGGTCTGACAGAAACCAGACCCTTTCCTGACTCAGCTCCAAATTTGTCCCCTCAGAGAGGTTTCCAGAACTTCCAACACCCCCCAGGAACTCAGCCTGTCCTCTTCCCAGTACTGACTGCCATCTCAAACGACCTTGATCGTGTCCTCCTTTCCCGTCCCTCTCACTGGACTCCAGGCTCCACAGGGACTTCCTCCACCACGCTCACAGCTGGATGCCCAGGACCTACCTAGCAAACCCCCTGGTTCATAGACGCTGCTCAGAGAGTCTGGCTGGGATGAACTAATTACTCGAAGAGGATAAATATGAAATAGGAATTGGGGGTCTGTGCTTGGCAGGAGCTGAGAGAGATCCTTGTGTGCAAGCAGGTTTGGATATCAGGGGTCAAATGCACCAACATTGATGGTTGCCGGCTGCCTCGTCTCGTGTCTCCTTCTCCTGTTGGGAGCATGTTTGCCCAAAAATGGTGAATTCTTTCACATGTATTTCTGGCTTGGTGTCTTTTTAAAGTCTTTTTAAATTATGTATATTTATTTATATATTTATTTATTTGAGAATCAGAGAGAGAGAGAGAGAGAGAGAGAGAATCTTTGATCCACTGGTTCAGTCCCCAAATGCCTGCAAGGGCCAGAGTCAGGCCAGGCTGAATTTGGGAGCTAGGAATTCAATTCAAGTTTCCCGTGTTGCTGGCCGGTACCCAACTACTTGAGCCATCACCAGGTGCCTCCTAGGGTGTGTATTAGCAGGAGGCTGGAATGTGAAGTGGAGGTAGGACTGGAACCCCCACATGGTGAACTGGTATGCAGGCATTCCAAGAGACAACTTAACTGCTGTTGCAGGCATTGGGCAGTGAACCAGTGGATCTCTTTCTCTTTCTCTCCCACTCTCTCTCTCTCTCTTCCCTCCCTCAGAAGTAAATGAGAAAATAAGTAAAAACTAGAAAGTGACTCTGCAGTAGAGACCCGAAGAGAGAGGGGAGTGTGTGGCTGCCACGGAGAGAGCACCCCAGGCAGAGGGAGGGCAGCTGCAGAGGTGGGAATGTGCTTGGCTCGCTGATGAGTGGAGTGTGGCTGGGGCAGAAGAGTTGGAGATAAAAGGCATGGCAGGTGGGCAGAGATCATTTAGGGCCTTGCAGGTCACTGTGACGACTTTGGCTCTTGCTCTCTGATTGGGAGCCGTTGCGATGTTTCAGGTTCTCAAGGGACATCAGTTTTTACAGCATTGCTGGCTGCTGCTTTGAGAACAGACTGAAGGGGAAGCGTGAACAGAAGTGGGGAGACCTGGCAGGGGACTAGCACATATGGGATGCTGCCATTGCAGGCAGTGGCTTTACCCACTGTGCCACTACGCCGCCCCTGAATTTTTTTTATAAAAGTCTATAAAGGAGGGGCTGGCACTGTGGCATAGCATCACCTCCTGCAGTGCCGGCATCCCATATGGGCGCCAGTTCGAGTCCTGGCTGCTCCACTTCCGATCCAGCTTTCTGCTATGGCCTGGGAAAGCAGTAGAAGACGGTCCAAGTCCTTGGGCCCCTGACCTGCGTGGGAAGACCCAGAGGAAGCTCCTGGTTCCTGGCTTTGGGTTGGCGCAGCTCTGGCCGTTGCAGCCATATGGGGAGTGAACCAGTGGATGGCAGACCTCTCTCCCTCTCTTTCCCTCTGCCTCTCTGTAAATCTGCCTTTCAAATAAATAATTTTTTTTATTTTTATTTTTTGACAGGCAGAGTGGATAGTGAGAGAGAGAGACAGAAAGGTCTTCCTTTGCCGTTGGTTCACCCTCCAATGGCCGCCGCGGCCAGCGCGCTGCGGCCGGTGCACCGCGCTGATCTGCTGGCAGGAGCCAGGTGCTTCTCCTGGTCTCCCATGGGGTGCAGGGCCCAAGTACTTGGGTCATCCTCCACTGCACTCCCTGGCCACAGCAGAGAGCTGGCCTGGAAGAGGGGCAACCAGGACAGAATCCGGTGCCCTGACCGGGACTAGAACCCGGTGTGCCGGCGCCGCAAGGCGGAGGATTAGCCTAGTGAGCCGCGGCGCCAGCCAATAAATATTTTTTTTTAAAAGTCTATAAAGAAAAAGAAAAAGAAGGATGATTTGCTTTTATTGAGCATCTATCATGGAATGGGCTCTTTTCTTACATTATGTTTTTTATTTGTTTTATGTAATGATTTGGAAACTTTTTATTTTGAAATAATTATAGGTCTACAGGAAGTCACATATGTAGTACAGAGAAAACTTCTATACCCTCCACCCAGCTTCCCTGAAAGTTAAATCTTACCAAACTACAGACAATGTCCAAGTCAGGAAATGGGGCTGGGTCATTGGCATAGCAGTTAGGGCACTGCTTATGATGCCCACTTTCCACATCAGAGTGCCTGGGTTGGAGTGCTGGTTGGGCTGCGATTCCAGCTTCCTGCTAATACACACCTGGAAGGCAGCAGGTGATGGCTCTAGTGTTTGGGTCCCTGCTTCCCATGTGGGAGACCTGGACTGAGTTCCTGGCTCCCGGCTTCAGCCTGGTGTAGCCCTGCCATTGCAGGCATCTGGGGAGTGAACCAGCAGTGTGGTGAGTGAGCCAGCAGATAGGAGCTCTTTGTCTGAATCAGTATCTCTGCTTTTCAAGTTTAAAAAAAAAGTCAGGAAATTGACATTGGTAAATATGCGTGTACAGTTCCACCATGTCTTAGCCCATGTGTAGATTGTTGGTTACCACCACCACAATCAGGATACAGAACCACTCTGGGGGCCGGCGCTATGGTACAGTGGGTTAACGCCCTGGCCTGAAGTGCTGGCATCCCATATGGACACTGATCCGAGACCTGGCTGCTCCACTTACCATCCAGCTCTCTGCTATGGCCTGGGAAAGCAGTAGAAGACGGCACAAGTCCTTGGGGCCCTGCACCTGTATGGGAGACCCGGAAGAAGCTTCTGGCTCCTGGCTTCGGATCAGCACAGCTCTGGCTGTTGTGGCCAATTGGGGAGTGAACCATCGGATGGAAGACCTCTCTCTCTCTCTCTCTGCCTCTCCTCTCTCTGTGTAACTCTGACTTTCAAATAAATAAATAAATATTAAAAAAAAAAAAGAGCCCCTCTGTCACCACGGAGAATTTCCTTGTGCTACCTTTTACAGGTGTATAGCCTTCCCTGCTCCAGCCTAACACCAGACCACCACTAATATCGCCCTCATCTCTATAATTTTGTCATTTTGAGAATCCTATTGATTAAGCCGCTGCCTGCAACGCCTGTATTCCATGTGGGCTCTGGTTTGAGTCCTGGCTGCTGTACTTCTGATGCAGCTCCCTGTTCACGTGCCTGGGAAGGCAGCAGCAGATGATCCAAGCACTTGGGCCTCTGCTACCCATGTGGGAGATGTGGATGGAGTTTCAGGCTCCAGGCTTCTGCCCGGCCCAGTCCCAGCTACAGCCATTAGAGCCATCTGGGTAGTGAACCAGCAGATGGAAGATCTCTTTCTCTTTCTCTCTCTCTCTGTGTAACTGTCTTCCAATTAATTTTTTTTTTTTTGACAGGCAGAGTGGATAGTGAGAGAGAGAGAGTCAGAGAGAAAGGTCTTCCTTTTGCCATTGGTTCACCCTCCAATGGCCACCACGGCTGGTGCACTGAGGCCGGCGCACCACGCTGATCCGAAGGCAGGAGCCAGGTGCTTCTCCTGGTCTCCCATAGGGTGCAGGGCCCAGGCACTTGGGCCATCCTCCACTGCACTCCCTGGCCACAGCAGAGAGCTGGCCTGGAAGAGGGGCAACCGGGACAGAATCTGGTGCCCCGACTGGGACTAGAACCCGGTGTGCCAGTGCCGCTAGGTGGAGGATTAGCCTATTGAGCTAATTAATTTTTTAAGTGATTAGCTTTGAGAGAGAGTACTGAGTGGGGAAAAACATGAGACAATGTTTTCAAGTGGGGGGAGCATTTTATATCCTGATCTGAGTGGTGGTTATGTGAATATATATAATCAAATTCAGTTTTAAGATTTGTGTATTTTACACACTACGTGTGACACCCTCTGGGAGTATTCTTTCTTCATGCATGATCTGCACTCTGGTGGTTGCTCTGGGCAGGGAGTAAGCCCTCACACACCTTCTACACCAAATAAACTCAAACCTCTCAGACTGGAATGGAATTATCTGGCTGCATATGCTCTGCTATGCCTCAGTCTTAAAAAAAAAATCGGGACCCATGGGGCTGGGACTGTGGCATAATGGGTGAAACCACCACCTGCAGTGCTGGCATCCCATATGGGTGCCAGTTCGAGTCCCGGTTGCTACGCTTTAGATCCAGCTCCCTGCTAATGTGTTTGGAAAAGCAGGAGAGGATGGCCCAAATTCTTGGGCTCCTCAACTCACGTAAGAGACCTGAATGAAGTTCCTGGCTTTGGCCTGGCCTGGCCCTTGCTATTGCAGCCATTTGGGGACTGAACCAGAAGGTAAAAGATTTTTCTTTCTCTGCCTCTTTCTCTGTAACTCTGCTTTCAAATAAATAAATAAATCTTTTTTAAATAAATCAAGACCTAATGTTTACTAAAAATGAGTCTTCTATTGTCTTGGACAATACCGAAATACACTAGTACAATGACCACATATAAAATAGCCAGGCCACCTTCTCCAACAGACACTGTGCCCTGTTTGTTATTATTTATTTATTTGAAAGGCAGAGTAACAAAGAGCGAGAAGGACAGAGGGATACTTCTCCATCTGTTGGTTTACTCCCCAAATGGCTGCCAGGAAGATAGGAGCCACCAGCTTCTTCGGGTCTCCCACATGGGTGGCAGGGGCCCAAAGACTCAGGCCATCTTTGGCTGCTTTCCCAGACAGGGAGCTGGATGGGAAGCGGAGCAGGAGGGACACAAGAACTGGAACTGCATGTGGTGGCTTAACCTGCTGCACCACGGTGCTGGCCCATGCATCACTAATTTACATCTTGTAAGTCTAGTTTACCAGGAATTGTGTGGAAAATCAGAGAATTAAGTGTTACAAGGTGGAGGGTTGGTACTGTGGCTACCATAGCAGGTTAAGCCTCTGCCTGCAGTGTTGGCATCCCATACGGGAGCCAGTTGGAGTCCCGGCTCTTCCACTTGCGATTCAGCTCCCTGCTAGTGCACCTGGGAAAGCAGTGGAGGATGGCCCAAGTACTTGGGCCCCTGAACCCACATGGAAGACCTGGAAGAAGTTCCTGTCCCCTGGCTCCCAGCTCCTGCCTGGCCCAGGCCTGGCTGTTGGTACCTTGGGGAAGTGAACCAGTAGATGGAAGATCTCTTTCTCTCCCCCCTTCTACCTCTGCCTTTCAAATAAATAATAAATCTGGAAAAAAAAAGTTACAAGCGTTCTTCAAAGAAATCACGAGAAATTGAATTTAGTTTATTTTGGTGCAAAAATTTTTTTAAACTGATCCATACAAGGGGTGTGCAAAAAGTTCATAAAAAATGTGTATTCTGGCCGCAGTGCGCCGGCCGCGGCGGCCATTGGAGGGTGAACCAACGGCAAAAGGAAGACCTTTCTCTCTGTCTCCCTCTCTCACTGTCCACTCTGCCTGTCAAAAAATAAAAACTTAAAAAAAAAAAAAAGAAATGTGCATTCTAGGAAAATTATGCACAGATTTCTTTTTTTTTTTCAACAGAATAAACATATTTTAATTGCATTTTCCTTTTTAAGTATCTGTGTGGTTGGGGGGGGGGGTGTGCGGTGCACATCAGTAAGCACAGTAAGTTCTGCAAGACAAGAGGTCACCGGTTCGCGCTGTCTCCTAGACCACGCGCACTGTTAGCTCCGTGGTAGCCGAAATTGCTCCAATTCGTCTCTTCACGGCTCGGGGCGTCTCTTAGATGTCGGCTAAAACGTTCTGCACGGGTAAGCTTTCGACGAGCAAGGACTGAAATCTGCAGCCCCACGGGCGGCTTCACGACCTACACACAACGTCCATGAAGCACTGGTTCTCAAAGTTAAAAGTTTTACCCATGCCTGGGTCCTACTACTAGAAACTCTGACTTAATTGGCATTAGGTGAAGCCGCCCGGGCGTCGGCAGCTTTTTTTTTTTTTCCTTCCAGGTGGTTTTAATGTGCGACGAAAGCTGAGAACCGCCATTTGGGGGCGTTCTTCCTTCTGCACGCAAGAGCTGGGCTCCGGCATCTGACGGGTGAAGTTCACCGACCTCGGTCCTCACGCCCTTCCTACCCAAATAAACCTCTCCGAGACAACCGGAAGGACTAGACTGGGGCTCTCAGCGGGGTGCAACCGCTCTGCACCCCACCCAAGCCTCTATGGTACTTTGACGTCCTCTCTAGCATTTGAAAGCCGCTTTCCCGTCCGGCCGGGCCGTTGCTCCCTCTCTATGGTAGCCGATTTCCCGGCACCCCTTGTTGGGGTTTCCTTCCGGTTCGAAGAGGTGGGACTTCACTCCCGGAAGTGGCCCACGTGCTTCCGCTTTAGTTCCCCGGAGCACTGGGTAAGTGTCTAGTATTTGCCCGAAGTTGGGGACGCCGTGTACTTTGTGGCTCGCCCCAGGCCGTGGTGAGTGAGCCGGGATCTCTGACTTCTGGGTGACCCTGATGTCGCCATTTCAGAGAAACAGGCTTTGGGGTGTGTCCTGGGCAGGTCGGTTCCGCGTTTGATCGAGTTCCCAGGGTCTCGGAGGGTCAGGCCCGCGGTTTCGTGTTCTGTCCATTTCTTGATCTTTTCCTGGACCGAGGTGACCTGGAAGCACTGGGACATCAGGTGTCTGGGGTTCAGTTTCCAGGCCCGCCATTGGCGCCCTGTGTAACCTTGGGGTAGACCGTGTTTCCTTTTAGACCCGTGTCCACATCCGTGAGACGGCACGGTCAAACGCACTGCCGTTGTGATGTTCTGTGGTTCCTTCGCGCTCCCCAGGCCCTGGGGTGGGAGGCTGACGGTGCTGTCTGTCCCTGGGCCAGGAGGCCGGAGGAGAGCCTCTTCACCGGCTGCGCTGAGATGGATCCGCTCAGGGCCCAACAGCTGGCTGCGGAACTGGAGGTGGAGATGATGGCTGATATGTACAACAGGTAAGGTCTAACAAAGCTTTTGTTAGCGTAGAGCAGCCCAAAGCCCCTGCTCATCCTCCCGACGTGGACCCCTTGGCTGACACTCATGCTGACCTGTTACCAGAACGGTTGGGCATTTATTTACTTGAAAGGCAGAGAGAGGAATAGGTCTCCTATCTGCTCCCCAGGTGCGTGCAGCAGGCCAAAGCCCAGAGCCAGGAACTCAATCCATGCCGCCTGTGTAGACGGCAGGGACTCAACTCCTTAAGCCAGCACCTGCTGCCTCCCAAGGTGTACGTTAGCAGGGGGCTGGAATCTGGAGAGAGCTGGGACTCCACACAGGCCTGCCGGTATAGGATGTGGGTGTCTTAACCACTGTGCCAGACATCTCCCCACTTCGTTGTTTTTTGTTTTTTGTTTTTTTTTTTAAGTGACGTTGACCTTTTTAAAAATTTGAGTTCTTGGGGCCGGTGCTGTGGTGTAGTGGCTAAAGCTGCCACCTGCAGTGCCGGCATCCCATATGAGCGCCGGTTCTAGTCCCAGCTGCTTCACTTCAATCCAGCTCTCTGCTGTGACCTGGGAAAGCAGTGAAAGATGGCCCAAGTCCTTGGGCCCCTGCACCTGCATGGGAGACACAGAAGACGCTCCTGGCTCAGCACAGCTCCATGTGTTGTGGCCATTTGGGGAGTGAACCAGTGGATGGAAGACTTCTCTCTCTCTGCCTCTGCCTCTCTGTAACTCTTCCTTTCAAATAAATAAATAAACCTTTAAAAAGAAAATGTTAGTCCTTTGAGTGGGAGACAGAGAGCTCCTATCACTCCCCCAGATGACCTCCATGGGAGCTGGGCTGGAATGAAGTCAGTACCCAGGAAAAATCCGGGTTTCCCACTTGGGTACCAGGAACCTGCCTCCTTGAGCCGTCACCTGCTGCCTCCCAGGGTGCAGGTTAGCAGGAAGCTGGAATTGGAAGCAGAGCCAGGACTTAACCTAGGGACTCTAGCGTGGGATATGGGGTATTGGGATCCCGAGCAGTGATGTCTTAACTGCTGCACCCGTTGCCAGCAGTCAAGCATTTAGGTCGGGGTGGAAATGGTCATGAAGAAGCCCAGCAGGAGGAGCGGCTGCCATCCAGGTGCTGATTAAGTTTCCACTGAGCTTTTGCCTTGTGACATTTAACCAATTTCTACATTTTCTCAAAAAGATGTATTTATCTATTTGTAAGGCAGAGTTCCAGAGAGAGAGACTAAAAGAGGGGTCTTCCATCTGCTGCCTCATTCCCCAAATGGGCACAATGGCCAATACTAGGCCAGGCCGGAGCCAGGAGGTTCATCGGGTCCCCCATGTGGGTGGCAGGTGCCCAGGCACTTCCGTCTTCCACTGCTTTCGCAGTGCATTAGCAGGGAGCTGGATGGGAAGCGGATGCGGTGTTGCAGTTGGTGGCTTCCCCACTGTACAACGCTGGCCTCCTTTCTACATTTCTTACTCAGGCACTTGAAGCACCTTTTATGTATAAGATCTTTCTTTCTACTCTTCAAAAATAATGCAATACATGATTAATAAAGTGAATTAGTCACACTTAAGATGAGGAAATTGAGGCTAGTAGATGCTAAATAGCTTCTTCCTCTGGTGCCACAGCAGTGTCAGGACCGTCACCCCGTTTGCACAGCTAACAGTCACAGCCGGGTGGCATGTTTGGGAAGCAGTCCTGGCTCCACCAGTCGCCAGCTGGATATCCTTGGACAAGTTACCTGGGCTGTTTGACAGTTGGTTTCCTCATCTGCAAAATGGACGGAGGGGCTGGTGTTGTGATGTGGCAGGTTAAACTGCCACCTGTGACTTAGGCATCCCATATCAGAGTGTCAGTTCTAGTCTCGGCTCCTCCACGTCCGACCCAGCTCCCTGCTAATGGGCCTGGGAAGCAGCAGATGATAGCTGAAGTACTCCCACGTGGTTGACAGACCCAGGCGGAGTTTCTGGCTCCTGGCTTCTGGCTTCAGCCTGGCCCAGCACTGGCTGTTGTGACCATTTACGGAGTGAACCAGCAGATGGAAGCTGTCTTACTCTGTGTGTGTGTCCGTTTCTTTCTCTTTCTCTGTCACGCCATCTTTTCAAATAGAAAAATGGACAGAATAATAGTACCTACCTCACAGATTTTATAAGTGTTAAATATGAAAGCCTTTAGCATCAGGCCCCAAACAGTCCAATGTCTGCTGTTTCTATCAGCTTAAACTCTCCTGATTGGTTGATTTCTGTTGGAGGCTAGATTGCAAATGATTTCTATTTGAGATGGAGAGAGAGGGAATTCTCATCTACTGGCTCCCTCCCCTGCTGCAGCCCCAGGCTGGAGCTGGGAGCTCCATGCACACCTCCCATGTGGGTGGCTGAACTGCTGCTGAGCCATCACTGCTGCCCCCGGCGTCTCTGTTGGCAAGAAGTTGGAGTCAGGGGACACAGGCCCCCCGCCCGCATCTAAACTAAGGGCACAGTATTGGCTCCTAGAATGATTATGAAATCAAACTACCTGGGTTCATATTCTAGCTCACTGTAATCCTTAGCAAGTGACTGGGCCTCTCTGTGCCTCAGTTTCCTCATCTTTAAAATGGGGATAATTGTGCCTTCCTGATAGGAGTATTGTAAAAATTGCCTAACAGGACCCAGGCAAGGCACTAGTGTGGTGCCGGCACATAGGCACTCCTCAACAAATGGTTTCTACTTAATTAGTCCTAAACGTGGGCTCAGACAAGGTTCCTGCTTACAAGGACCTTCCAAGACGGCTGAGGTGCAGGCTGAGGAGTTGTGTTGTTTCCATGGGGAAAGTGCAGTCAGTATAGTGGGGATAGAATGATGGAGCTTCCCTGGGAGTCACAGGATGCTACTGATAAGACCCACTCCTCCCTCCCTCCAGAATGACCAGCGCCTGCCACCGGAAATGCGTGCCTCCCCACTACAAGGAAGCGGAGCTGTCCAAGGGCGAGTCTGTGTGCCTGGACCGATGTGTCTCCAAGTACCTGGACATCCACGAGCGAATGGGCAAGAAGCTGACGGAGCTGTCCATGCAGGATGAGGAGCTGATGAAGAGGGTGCAGCAGAGCTCAGGGCCTGCGTAAGGCCCCAGACGGCACACACCCAGGGGTGCACCCTGCCCCTGCCCATTCTTCGCGAGAAAGTGCTCCCTCCTGGGTGTCTCTGTGAAGACCACCGGGCCTGTGCCCTCTGGAGAGTGTCCAGGGGCCCGGGCTGTGGCAGAGCTGTCCTGACTGAAGAAGGGGTATCTGTCACACTGGAATGTGACTGTGATCGTGTGTGTATATGTATATGTGTGTGTGTATGTATATATATAAACAAGGTTGTCAACACTACTCTGTGTGGAGCCGAGTGCTTGGCATTCAGGAACAAAGAGACGCAGCCTTCTGCCAGCAGAGGGAGTCTCCTGGAGTTCTTAATAGGAGTCCAGACTGATAAGACAGCCTGGGTCTATGCCCTGGCTTAGCCGCTTGCTGTGTGACCACCCCCCCCCCCCGACAGACATGTCACTACCTGTCCTTGGCGTTCTCATCTGCAGCATGGAGATCACCTTAGGCCTGTTGGGAAGAGTGAGCGAGCCCATGTATGTCCATGTATGTGAAACAGGAAGTGCCACAGTGCCTGTGATGCAGGAAGTGCCACAGTGCCTGTGATGCAGGGGTGCCACAGTGCCTGTGATGCAGGGGTGCCACAGTGCCTGTGATGCAGGAAGTGCCCTGTGCATTGTCTTTAGTGTCTGTTTTCATCTACTTGAAAGGCAGAGCAGTAGAGAGAGGCAGATCCTCCCATCTACTGGTTTACTCCTCAAATGCCCACAACAGCTGGGCTGGGCCAGGCTGAAACCAGGAACCTGGAACTCCATCTGGGCCTCCCATGTGGGTGGTATTTGCCTGAGCACTTGAGCCTCGTATGCTGCCTCCCACAGTGCACCAGTTGGAAGCTGGATGGGAAGCAGAGTAGCTGGGACTTGAACCAGCACTCCAATACAGGATGCAGGCGTCCCAAGCAGCCCAACTCGTCACTGCACCATAATCCCCACCCCACCCCTCCTTGAATGTCTGTTTATTGTCATCTACTTGAAAGGTAAAACAGGGAGAGAGAAGGATGAATACTTGAAAAAGAAGTTGAGAGGCTGGTGTACGCAGTGAGTTAAGCTACCACCTGCAACACCAGAATCCCTGTGAGTGCTGGTTGGAGTCCTAGCTGCTCCACTTCCCATCCAGCTCCCTGCTAATGCACCCGGGAAAGCAGTGGGGCTGATTGGGCCCCTGCCACCCACGTGGGAGACCCAGGAGTCCCAGGCTCCTGCTTCTGCTTGGTCCTGTCCCAACAGTTGTGGCCATTTGGGGAGTGAGCCAATGGATGGAAGATCTCTCTCTCCCTCCCTCTTTTTATCGCTTTGCCTTTTAAAGATGTATTTATTTAAGAGGTAGAGTTACAGACAGACAGGGAGAGACAGAAAGGCCTTCCATCCGCTGGTTCACTCCCCAAATGGTTGCAGCAGTCAGAGCTGGGCCAATCCAGAGCCAGGAACTTCTTCCAGGTCTTCCACGGGGGTGCAGGTGCCCAAGCACTTGGGCCATCTTCCACTGCTTTCTCAGGTGCATTAGCAGGGAGCTGTATAGGAAATGGAACAGCTGGGACTCCAACTGACACCCATATGAGTTGCTGGTGCTGCAGGTGGAGGCTTACTATGCCATAGCACTGGCCCCTCACTATGCCTTTTAAATCTTAAAAAAAAAATTTTTTTTTTTGAAAGAGCGGTGGAGGCAAGCAGGCATTTCCACAAATGATTTAGGGGAGAGGATGAAAAGTAGGTGGGATTTAGGGAGCAGATAGCCAACATCGTGGGTCTAACCGGCAGTATCAGGATGTATGAAGGGGCCCAGCTTCGTGGTATGAGAACCAGGAGGGGACTCGTGATGACCACGCCGCTCTCTTCCTGAGTCGGACTTTGCTCACTCCATACACCGTCCAGACTAAGCCACTGATTCCAGCCAAAGGTCTGGCTGGAAGGGGGGCTGGGAGCAGTGGTTGCTTGCTGTGGTCACACAAGTGGAGCGGTGACATAGAGGCCAGGGTGACTGTCCTGTTTGCTGTCGCACTGGGGCCACATCCTGTGGGATCCATGTCCTCAGAGAACTGCACAGCTTTCAGAACGTGTGAGGTGGGATTTTGGTTGACCCCAATGCCAGTGTGTGATGGCAGTATCTCCAAAGCCGGCCTCTGGGGTAGAGGGGCCTGGGGTACAGGGTATAGCAAGGTCATGGGAGGCACAGTAAAGGAGACATAAAGACAGTTTGGGGCTTACAAGTGAAGTTCAAGCAAGGCTCTGTGAGTCTTTCATCTTTTTTTCTTTAAGATTTATTTGAAAGGCAGAGTTACAGAGAGATCATCTGCTGGTTCACTTCCCAAGTGACTGCAACAGGCAGGGCGGGCCAGGTGGAAGCCTGGAACCTGGAACTCCATCTGGGTCTCCCACATGGGTGGCAAGGCCCAAGCACTTGGGCCACCTTCTGCTGCCTTCCCAGGTGCATTAGCAGGGAGCTGGGACAGGAACAGAGTAGCTGGGACTCGAGCGTGTGCTTACCTGGGGTGCAAGCTTGATTTGCTGCACCACAAAACCAGCCCCTGGGCTTGTTTCCACTGAGATTCCCTTAATCTTGAGTGGGGCCTGATCTGTGCTTCAGTTACCCCGCCCATAAAATGGCTGAAGAACACACATATCTCCTTGGGTAGTTGTGAAAATTAAATGTGTTAATAACTAAAGCACATAGGGAAGTGCATAGCATACATAAGGTGTGTTGGTTCTTTTCATTGTTAAGTTTTGTGTGAGGTAGAAACATTGGGAGGACCCTGGAACACTTCAAGACCGTGGTCCGCCACCTTGAACATGGAGACTGCGAAGACTCTCCTCTCTAGGTACTGAAGTATGAATTTGGGTCAACAGGTGGCGCTGTCTGCCCACTAGTCTGTGCTGCCTCGGCCAATTCCACAAAAGTTTATTCCTGGCATTCAGCTTGATACTGCACCTGCCCTCGGGTTTAGCAGGGGATATCAGGAACTCTCCGATAACCAGGTCACCTGGAAGGGGTGGTGGCAGTGGGGAGAGGAGGTTCCAGCAGAACAGCACAGTGCCTGCCACGGCTGTGAAGGTGGAAGTGTGGCGCCCTCAGGCCACTGGAGGAGGTGCAGGTGACGTGAAGCTTGCAGTGGGAAGGTGCGCTCCACGGGTGAGCCGTGCGAAGGGGCTTGGGTCATCTCCTGAGGACATGAGACCTGAAGGATTTACGGTGACAATGACAGATCTGCACGCTACCACCAGCCAGGTACATAGCGGTAGATGGTGGCAAGTAATAGATTAGGTGGGCCGGCGCCGCGGCTCACTAGGCTAATACTCCGCCTTGCGGTGCTGGCACACCGGGTTCTAGTCCCGGTCGGGGCGCCGGATTCTGTCCTGGTTGCCCCTCTTCCAGGCCAGCTCTCTGCTGTGGCCAGGGAGTGCAGTGGAGGATGGCCCAGGTGCTTGGGCCCTGCACCCCATGGGAGACCAGGAAAAGCACCTGGCTCCTGGCTCCTGCCATCGGATCAGCGCGCTGCGCCGGCTGCAGCGCGCTGGCCGCGGCGGCCATTGGAGGGTGAACCAACGGCAAAGGAAGACCTTTCTCTCTGTCTCTCTCTCTCTCACTGTCCACTCTGCCTGTCAAAAAAAAAAAAAAAAAAAAAGTAACAGATGAGGTGGAGACGTGGCAAGCAGGCAGTGAGGAGAGAGGGGGGATGTGAGTAAGAACAGCTCAGGTTCATTGGATTGCTGCAGTGCGCTAAGCTCTGCTAATAGCCCCAAGCGTATTAGTTCAGTTAATCCTTCCAACAACTCCGTGAGACAGGTGTGGCTGTCTTCACTTCTCCGATGCAGAAGCCGAGGCTCTCAAAAGTTAGTGACTTGCCTAAGAGCACAGGGCAAGCAAGGGGCAGAGCCGGGATTCCAGGAGGCAACAGACCCTAGAGGCACCCTAACCACTGTGCTAGGCTCGAGGGCCACCGCCCTGGTGAGACACGTGTCAGCACTTTCATGTTTCACTCACCACTATTATATATTCCATTAAATATCATTTTATTCCACAGTTGGTTTTAAAAGTGTCCTCCATGCTTCCTTGCATGAAATGCGTCATCACTTGTTGGCCAAGAGCTTCGAGATTTTCCAGGATGAATTAGCTGGGTCCCTGCCTCAGTGAGCAGGCTAGGTGGGGGCGGGGAGTGGAAGAGGGCAGAAGTGGACACACAGCAGAGATGAATCAGGCTGTCCTCAGAGGTGTTTGTGCTCGGTTTCAGGTTTTCCATTTTGTAGTCTATTTATTTGAAAGGCAGAGAGGGAGAGATCTTGCATCCACTGGTTCACTCCCCAAATGGCCACTGCAGCTGGGACTAGGCCAAGCCAAAGCCAGGAAAGCCAGGAGCTCTGGATCTCCTACCTGGACAGCAGGGACCCAAGTATTTGGGCCATCAGCTGCTGCCTCCTGGATGCGTATCCGCAGGGAACTAGATCAGAAGTGAGTAGCTGGGCCTTGAACCCAGGCATCCCAAGTGGCAACTTAACCCGCTGTGCCACAACACCTGCCGCGAATTATCAATTGTAAAAAGTAGGAAGTGTTTCATAAAAATCTAGGCTGTGGATTCTTTGGGAAATCGAGACGCTCTGTTGGCATTGGGCCTCCTTGGCAGCATCTGCTGATGGTGGGCAGAGGTTTGTCACCCACCAAGCCTCCCACCGCTGACGTCTTCCTTCCTCGTCATCGTCTCCTTGACCTGCAGGCATTTGGTCTGGGCCTTCTGCCCCGGCTGTTCAGATGAACTGGCCACTGTGTAAGGAAACAGGTCAGTGTCCTGGGGTAGGTGGCCTCTAAGCTCACTAGGGATGGGCACCACTTCCAAGGCTAAGTTACAAAAGACGGCACTGTCCGTCCTGCTAGTTCCTCTTCTCACACCCTCTTGACTTAGCCCTCTTTCTTGGCTGTCTCATGCTCCTGCTCTCTCGCTCTTCTCTCTGCCTCACCCTGATGAAGCAGTGTTCCATGGTGTGAGCTGACCTATGAACAAACCGTGCAGTAAGGAACTGAGGGGCAGCCTCCAGCCAGCAGCCAGCAGGGAAGTGCATCCCCCAGCGTGAAAGTGAGCTTGGAAGCAGATCCAGATGCCTGCAGCCCCCGCAGAGGACCCCGCTGAGCTAGGCCCGACCTCCTGACCCAGAGAAACCGAGATAATGAATATTGTGTTAAGATGCTGTGTTTTGGGGGTTGTCGCTGTGGCGCAGTGGGTTAATGCCCTGGCCTGGGGC